TGTTAAATGTTTACTTATATTTTTTTTTTCAAAGTTTTTAAGTAACTTAATAAAATCAGCTCACTCTTTCGTATCTGGCTCTATCTTCTTCCGCTATTGCCATATATTTTGATTTAGTTTGAAGATCCGTACTCATCCATAATTTACCCAATTCTTTAGCAATATCACCTACACCCATTTCTGGATGTAATTCTCTCATTTTTCCTCGTAACTCTTGGCAGAAATAGAAAAATGCAGATCTGCAAAAATACTTATAAATAAAATATAAAATATGGCATAATCTAATTAATAGTGCAAACACATACAATGCTCTTTTAGGCGCATCTTTGTCTCTATATCTTTTTGTTCCTCTACGCGTTGGTTTTTCTGTTTCATCGTGACTTACATAATGTCTGTCATAGTAATGCATTTTCTTATTGCAATGCGCACCATCGTCTGGTAACACAATCTGGTAACGCAGTATATGATTATTAATTTGTATATTTTTATTACATGTAACGTTTATTAAATTATCCCATACAGACTTACTTCGTTCTTTACTGGTACTGCATTAATAATAAAATTTTTACTTTGCATGTTCGACCATTTTGTTTGATTGTTTGAAACACTGGACACATTACCAGGTTTCATTACAGGTTCACCGCATTCTAAAAGTTGAATAATTCGTCGCATATAAATTTATCAATGAATTTAAAACTCTTCTGCTTAATCACATCATACAAATGAATAGCATTTATATTTAAAAATAATATAAAATTTCACCTTGAGTCATATTTGTTTGACCAACAATCATTGTATCTCTCATTCCAGAATTCAAAGAGTTATCACCTGTTTTTGTAAGATAAACATTCTTCCTGTCGGATGATTCCATGGTTATAAAAAATTGTTCTTCTAGAATTCTTTGCTCAGGAACTCAATAATCTTTATAAAATTTTTACCTGCTTTTAATACTTAAAAAGAATATATTGTTTCGTTCTGATAATTATTTGTATGTGTATTAAAAAAAATACGAAGAAAACAATGTATAAATAATTTCAACTGTAATATAATTATAAGCAGTTTTTTTCCATTAATTTTGTAAAACAAAAGAATTTTTGTACAATTAATTATACTCATATTTTCAATGGAAAATTTTTAAACTCATGCATAATTATATAAGAACTAACAAATATTAATTATAATAATAAGTATTATAATTACCAGAAATATTGTTTATAAAAAGCATATAATACCCTGTTGTGACAATCTTAGTAAAATACCATTATTTTGTAGAACTTTTCCACTCTCTGTAAAATAAACGCGATAAAATTCAAAATTATTTGACAGATGTGCAATAATTAATTGAAAAAATAAATTTTATGTGAAAAATGTAAAATATGTTATAGTCGGTACGAAAAAATGTCATACAATGAAAAATACTTGAAATAATTTATTCTAAATTATTATAATTCGTCTAATTATAGTTTCAAATATATTAACACTACACGAATTCCGCTTGTATAATATTATACAACACAATATGACACACGGTACATACCAAGTACAATAATATCAGATTTTATTCATATATTTAACAATAACGCTTTCGCAAAATCTAAAAAAGCAA